ATCACTATTTTAGTCATTCTATTTTGTATGTATCTGTATTGTATTATTATAACAAAGTCATCAGAAAATCAAGGCTAAAAACCTCGTACTAAGTAGTTGACTTACTACTCTATCAAAGAAGTAATATTTTTTTCAAAAATGTACTACGTTTCTCAGAAAATAAGTAAAATTTCATTAATTCAAACCTTCCAAATGTCCAGCTGTTTGTAACAGTTAGAAGATGAAGATGATTTATCTTAGTTTTGAAATCAATCAATCAACTTATTTAAAAGTGATTTGTTTTGTCGGAGTGACGTTATTTTTAAAACGGTAATCGATTATTCCTTAAATCGTTTTTTTATATTTATGTTTTTGTATACCGATGAGTTTTCTGTCATATAGATAAAAAAATTATGGTGATTGTCTTCCCATTCATCATAAATGCTCACTGCTGAGCAAAGCCTCTTCTCACAAGGAGAAGGTTTGAGCATTAATCACCACGCTTGCTCAATGCGGGTTGGCGATTTCAAACTTATAATTTGAAATTATAAGCCCAGGTTCCCTCACGATGTTTTCCTTCACCGTTTGTCAGTGGTGTTCAGGTATTCTTAAAAAGTATGTTATAACTCGGAAAATGTCACATCGGTACTTGCCGTTAGTAGGTTTCGAACCCGCACCCTCATGCATGAGAAGCCTTAAATCTCCTGGCCACCACGACAGCATTTTGGTCTTCCCATTACTGCATATCAAATATAATAATAGTTAATTTAGTTTTTATTTTTTATGTGTGTATATGTATGTGTCTTCTTCTGTCTGTGTGTTGTGCATAAATAACTAAGCGTGGAAGAGCCATGCTCGAATAGGCCGGTTCGACCGGAGTGATACCACGGCCTCACAGAAATCCGCTTGCGTTGCATTTCGTCATGTAAAAGAGTATACCGGAGGCCAATTGCCTCCCCCCTCTACCCCAATCTCACCAATCCCCTCTTCCCCAACAATCTTTAAATTCCTAATGACCGGAAGGCCGGCAAGATGTACTTGTAACGCCTATGATGTTTCGGGTGTCCATGGGCGATGCCAATTGTTTACCAGGCAATACACATCGATAATTACTCATTTGATAAATCACAACTACCTCTAAATAAATGAAAGTTCAAATATAAAACAAAAGTAATAATGATCTTCATTGCCCACACATATCCAAATCATAAATTATTCATTGTAACATCGACAGTAAAGCTTTTATTTTAATGACGCTAATATTGATTATAGTTTGTTTGAATTGACTGGGTTTAAGGGTCAAATTTCTATGGCAGGTTTTGAATATTTATTTTAAGGTTATTTGGAGCTATAAAACATTATTCAACCCGTCCACTGATAAACTATAGATCTGCTCTACGCTACATAGTATGCTTTTTGATTTTTTGACGGGGAATTACCATCCAATGACTTCTCCAACTTTAGGTCAGGCGAGAGGGAATGTCAGACTCTTACTGACTAAAGACCACCCTACTACTACCTACTTTTGCTCTTCGAGCCGGAGCCCCGGCAACCCGTTAGGCCTTTTGCGACTCTGTATCAGGCATCAGCCCTGCTGGGCCACATGTGTGGTGATCTGTTGGCTGGTTGGGCGGCGAGCTAGCCTTGCTTGCCGTCCGCAGATTACAGAGTTTACTGAGAAACCTTAGTTTAAAATGTTCACGTTTATCAGAAGCCGTCTATGGCCGATCTCTGCCAAATATACAGTTGGCTCTTATAATACCCGTGTAAGAGATGGTAACAAAAGCCTTTTATTTTATTATCAAAACAGGGTTTTGATGTTTTAAGCACAGTCACTTTCATTTTGGCCTTAAAGTAGTTTTTTTTTTATTGAGGCTCTCTTTTGCAAACTATTTCCTAAACTTTCTTATACCATAGTATTGTACCAAACCAACCATCTGCATTGCGACTACTTTGGTCATAAAAAAACAATATGACGTCATGTCGTAACCAATATCAGTTTTATGAACGAATTGCAAGTTTGTGTTTTTTATTAAGGAGCTCGGAACATGCCACAGCCTAGTTTCAAAGATATTTGTTATTGATCAACTTGAAATACTTTTTTAGTTTGTTGTCTGTTAATGAGTTTTGGAGCCTAAATATGATGGATAATGTGGGTACATGCTACGATTACACAAAAAAGGAGATTTAAAGAAAATTTTATAATAAACAAGGAAAGTATTGTGTTAACTTTATATTTCTACACCTTTTGGGTACTAAATATAACAATAAAAACACCGTTCAACACAAATAAAAATTCAATTTGATACATTCAAAGTTTGATTAATTTTTAGGTTCTAGTTTTTTGCAAGTGGTCGCAAATACGATTCATATCGAAATTAGTCCCCCACATTAAGTAACGATAGAAGCTAATAAGTCAATATTAATAGTAGAATCTATCAAAGAGGGACTAGTTAATATTACTTTATGTTGACATTAAGATTCATAACCACAAACCAAACAGATTCAAACAAATACACACCTCATCGTTAATCAAAATATTTGTAAACTCAATTTAAACGTTAACCCTGCAATTAAAGGGTTAATCCACGGCGATAGTCTGACCAAAAACATAGTTTCTGTGGAGCGATTAGAAAGTCAAACAAAAGCTTACAAACGTTGGAGGGTTAATTAGCGTGCTGGCTCACTTGACCCGTTGGCGTATGGTGTAAGTGTAAAATCTAGATTAAGATAAGCTTGTTTACGTCCTGTCCATTACATGATATAAAACGAAAATGAGAGAAAGTGCTTCTGTGTAGGTAATATTCATACTGTACTTTCAAGTGTGGGAGAGCCATGCTTCGGCACGGATGGGCCGGCTCGACCGGAGTGATACCACGGCCTCACACAAAACCGACGTGAAGCAACGCTTGCGTTGTGTTTCGTCGTGTGAGTGAGGTTACAGGAGGCCCAATTACCCTCCCCTTCCCCAATCTGCCCAATCCCTGAATCCCCAACGATCATCAAACTCCACCACTACCAAAAGGCCGGTAACGCACTTGTAACGCCTTTGGTGTTCCAGGTGTCCATGGGCGACGCCGATTGCTTACAATCAGGTGATCCATCTGCCCGTTTACCGGATTATATATTCCATAAAAAAAAAAAAAAAAAAAACGACGATTGTTGGTGAATCGGAGATTGGGGGGGGGGGGGTAATTGGGCCTCTAAAAACCTCACTCACATGACGATACACAACGCAGGCGTTATTTTACATCGATTTTCGGTAAGGCCGTGATATCACCTCGGTTGAGCTGGTCCATTCGTGCCGAAGCATGACCCTCCCACACTTAAATACGTGTTGTACATACCACAAATCTTGTACCACACCGAATCCTCCATGTTATGTAGTTCGAATGCCTATTTGTTAATCTGAGTTTAGTTTAATTGAGAATCTCTATCCTATCAAACACTTACAGCCCTTTGAAGTACACACGACTAAGTACAAAATATATCTTACTATCTTGTGTTAGCATTAATGAGTTCTTGGGAATTGTGTCGATAGTCCACAGATTAGAAGGTTTGGCTTTTGAACTTACAGTACCGGATTCGATTTATGTATCTATTACGTTGGTGGTATTTGTTGTAATAGACATTTTGGAAGTGTATGGGGCAATTGATGAGCTCTTGGTATAGGTTGAAATTTCATTTTAGTTAAAACGGATTTTTTGTGAACTCACGTTCCTTATGCCCCTCCACGATTATATAACGACTTAGGTGAAAACTGTTCTATTTGGGTAGACATCCACATTTAAATGTAGGGATTTCAGTAAAGTGGTGGAAGCTCGGAGATCTAATACGTCCGCTTCTCATGCATGAGAGTGCGGGTTCGAAACCTACCAACGGCAAGTACCAATGTGAATTTTTCCGAGTTGTATGTACTTTCTAAGATTATTTAGACACCACTGACAAACGGTGAAGGAAAACATCGGGAGGAAAGCTGGACTTATAATTTCTATAAGTTTGAAATCGCCAACCCGCATTGAGCAAGCATGGCATTTAATGCTCAAACCTTCTCCGCGTGAGAAGAGGAATTTGGCCACTTATAGGCTATTGATGCGATGTGAAATGTAGGGAACATTAGGTTTTCGTTAATTATATAGGCATTATGAATAATGAGCTTGTCTTCGTAGACCGTATACTACACGAGAATTCACAAAAAAAATGTCTAAGTATTATTTACCAAAATAATAACTAACTCCACCTGAGAATCACATCTTATAATCAATCAACGAGCTACTAAAGTAATATAACTCTATTAATAAAGTCTCCCTTTAAATATAAATGCAGTTCAAGTAACAGAATCTATCTAAAGGCATGACGTTCCATTCTATGACGTCACTGTTCAGTATGATACAATCGTTCAATCCCACGCACTTCAATTACAGAGATTTTAAAGGTCATTTCGCTTTGCAGGGATAGTGAGGCAATTGTGGCTAACTTCACTGATTGATTAGTTATCTGATATGCTATTTGCAGCTTTACGGATTATTTTGAGACATATTGATAAGTGTGTAATTACTATGTAGGTATTATTTTTCTTCTACTATTGCTTACTACTACCCCAACTCTTTAAATATAACACATCCATTTTCGCAATTTACTCTATAAGCATTAAAACCTTACCATGCAGACACAAATCCAAAATCCTTAAAGTTTCTAATAAATACCCCAATCGCGCCACCACCCCTCCCCAATTTCCTCATTCCTGAATCTCCAATAATCCTGAAATTCCTAATCCTCAAAAGGCCGGTAACGCACTTGTAACGCCTCTGGTGTTGCGGGTGTACACGGACGACGCCAATTGCTTACCATTAGGTGGTCCGTCTGCTCGTTTACCGGCTTATCCCAGAAAAGAAAAATCGAAAACTTCATAATACTTTGCATGATCCAACAACTTAGCCAGAAGTTCCTTATTAAACAGTCTTACTACTCAAGGCATTATTACGAAATACGTTTTGACACTTGTTTTTTAATTGTTACAGACCCGAGCAGTATGTCAGTAGCAACCTGAAGGCGAGCGGGCGATGCGCCGCGCGGCGGTTCGCGCGCGCGGTGCGACGCGCGTAATATGCGCTCACTGAACGAAACAGCGTGCCAGGCGCTGCTTGAAGACGTACGGTGGGACGAGCCCGTCAGCCTCGTCAGTTTAGCTATACTCGCCCTTATTGACGTGCTTGTGATTGCTGGTAAGTAACTAGCTATCTGTTGTGATTTTAAAGTTCAATTTTGGTATGAGAATTTGCATTGAAACATTTTATTTCTTTATTTAAGTTTTGTACAATTGCATAATGGAGACATAATGCTAACAGCATTCTCTGCCAGTCATACTTTGGGTAGTGCAGAAATGTATGTGATACGTGGTAAGCTGCAAAAAGATTGATTATGAGAGGTAGTAATAACTATCCAAATGAATACAAGAGCTTCAAAAGCATAAACAAAATAGTACACTATAATGAATTATAAATAATCAGTTACAAGATACTAAGTAATAGTAATGAAATAAGTCTGAGGTCGGTCGTTTCCAACCAGCCTATTTTCAGATAATTATGTATGTACCTACATGTTGCGCCTCATATGATCCTTCATATTGATTTGAAGACACAATACTTAATTTATTTATAGAATCAAGGAAGATACTTTAATTAGCATATTTGGGTATTCCATACAGATTCTGATCTAATGGTTTATCTTGGATCTATTTTGTGGTATTCTTAAATCACTTTGAAAATACAAACCAGTAAAATCGAGTATAGCAATAGCAAGAACCTATATTCTGAACTAATTACACTCCGACTAATGAAAGCGCGATACGCCCCTCAATTAAAATGGCATCGCTAAAGAAAATCGATACGGAATCGATTTTAGGTTCATAGCCGCAAATATATGGTAGATATTGATACTGGATTATAATTCTTTATAAATAAGTAATTGTTAATAAATAAATACTAGTCGTTGCGTGTCATGTTGTGTACACATACTTGTGGACGCATGGTCTGCCATTTACAGTTACAGGTTACAGTTACAGGTACCTATTAAATGAATAAATGAAAAAAAAATATAAATATTGACTTTGGTATAATTATAATACTAGTTTGCAGAAGTAAATTGATAATAACCATTAACTCGTCGAGTACCGTCATTATAGACACAATTATAGAACAATAGGTTGCGGTCACCGGTGACCGCTTGGTGTTTGACAGTTTAATATAATATTTAGTTATAGGCTTCACAATTTCATAAAACACTTCTTTCTAGTTTTATGATTTTTTTTTTGTTGGCATATATTTATTGAGTTATTTTAATCACGTAATCGAAATATTGTCATTAATTTCCTTTGTCTATTATTGTCACTATTGTTTAGTCTGGATGCAGGTCGTTTTCTAACCGATCTCTTATGTTTAGTTGTTTATATCTTGTGGTTGATATAATGTTAATAGTAATTCTTTAGACCTTAGTATCAATTAGAAAAGACATTCCACGATAATTTATAGATAAAGAACATCAGGTGTGGTTTACAACAATAATATAACATTCAATAACAATTTCAAATCTTCAAAAAAAAGCGAATTCCTTTTTAAAAGACCGGTCACGCACTTGTGGCACCTCTGGTGTTACAAGTGTCCATGGGCGGCGCTGATTGCTTACCATCAGGTGATCTGTCTGCTCGTTTGCTTCCTATTCCATAAAAAAGTAAAAACTAACCTACACCTGATCCTTAAATCTCAATTTAAACTACGCATTGTCTACTAAACTTTATAAATCAAAGAATTTAATTAAGTAAATACCTTCCCCACATATCTTGTTCATAAGCCTCCCTATTAACCTCCGGCCTCACACGACATACGCGTGAAATAACGTTCCAAAAATAGATCCCCCACCAAAGCAATCTAATATGAAAATGTAACAGAACACAATACAATGCTTATCTTAAATATAATAAGGATAAACCAACATTCAAAGACGTAATTATAATTCGAAATACAATTGTAACAAGACAACGAATTATATGCTTTATTCATTATCTTTACTAAGTTATTGTTAACCATTTTCCTTTGTACTTACGGCTGCATATCGAGCTATACATAACCAGTTTATCATGGTCTTGCCTCATATAATCTTTCTACATATTCGACGATCAGTGTATACTGGTTTTGTATAGCTGTATGTATATATCAACAGAGTCGCGTACTTTGCACGTTTAATCTCATTCCGCTATTTTATGGCTACGCGCTACGTCGTAGCACGTGCTACGGCTACGACTAAGGTGCTACGTGATTTATGTGTAGCATGCACTTAAAATGATTTCAGAGAAAGGTTTTTCTCGCAACTATAATATGTTTACTGGTTTTTTCTCTTTGAGCAACATTTTAACTTTAGAAAATCCTACTAATATCATAAATGCAAAAGTTTGTATGTTTGTCTGTTCGTTTATTACTCCTAAACAGCTGAAGGGATCGGGATAAAATTTGATACAGATGTAGATTATGGTCCTGAGTTCAGGAAGACATTTTATCCCACGGCGCCTGACAGAAACTAAATACTTCATGATATAATATTCGTTTTTCATAGAGATAAATTATTTGTAATATTTTAAAGGTTATTTCTTTAGTAAAAGGAAGTGTTTTGCTTTTTCGCAAATGTAATTAAAAGGTATCGGGTATCGTCCATTAGAGGGGCTGCGAAAATAAATGCTGTATCGAACAGAAAAACAAAAAACAGCTCAGATACTTCAGGTTGAACAAAACGTAATTAGCACGATTTTCCTTAAAAACTCTGCCTTGTTACCTGAACGTAATTATGCAGAAACTTTCTAAAAGTTTTTGTATAGAAGTATTATTTTATCATTAGGTAATGTTTGTTTGAAACATTTATTGAAATACCGGCAACTAATTTTGAATAACTCAATCACAGCAATAACTATTGTGAATAGGATTTTATAACAGTAAATGTTTTTTGATACAGAGCATTTTATAGCAAGATGTCAGACATTGATGTTACAAATTGTATCAAGATTACACGTTGTATCATTACAAGGTGCTCATTGTAATGCTCGGTTCTCCTCCTTCACTGATGTAATACTCAGATCTGTAACGTTACATTACATGCGAATGCTCCCGGTTAGGGAACACCTTAAAGTCCACAAAACCAAATCTAATTTCATCAAAACATCTCAACCATTGCTCATTTAAAACAGAAATAAGTATTCACATTTTGAAAAAGGACACTGACTTCAAATAAATTTCGAGATGAAACAGGTTCGGACTCATGACATTTGCGCCACGCTTTAGAATAAAAGCATACGGTCTTTATGAAGCCGGCATTCATTTATACCTGAGCCATGTTCGAAGTAAAATAAGAAGGTCAACTCATTAGTTATTCTTTTTTCTATGTCGAAGTATTAGATTAGCTCCTTTATTCTTTTTTTTTATTTGCTAAGCTGGTAAAAGAGCAGACGTGTAACCTGATGGTAAGCAATCGGCGCCGGCCATGGACACCTGAAACACCAAAGGTGTTACAAGTGCGTTACCGGCCTTTTGGGACTGGGAAATTTGAAGATTGTGGGAGATTCAGGGATTGGGGAGACAACACAACGCAAGCTTAGTTTCACGTCTGTTTTCTGTGAGGTTGTAGTATCACACCAGTCGAGTCGGTCCATTCGTGCCGAAGGATGGCTCTCCCATACTTAAAGTAACTTATACTGTACAATGTTTCCGTACTAGCTTTCACTCAATGCTTTAGGTCCGTGACCTTGTCATACAGTTTTTTAATTATAATACATCTAGTCAATTTTTATAAAGTAAAGAGGGAACCTAGTTACACACTACAATTAACTACATCTATAATTATTACCAAAAGTATAGGTTACATAATAATTAGGCACTATTTATTTATTTCTATTTCAAAGGATGCTTTATGCTTATAAACCATTATTTACTCGCTCGCTTTTGAAACACTCTATCAATTAAAATATTGCACTAAAATACTTTACGTAGTCTTAAAGATCTAAGCATACGTATAGATAGACAGTGGGAAGTGTTTTTTTTATACTATAAATGTAGTGAGACTCACTCTTCTTGATTGCTACTCTGGTCGAATGCTTTTGTTTGTGTCTATCAAAATTGAGACATCAAATTGTTCTCTATATTATACACTACTCAATTAAGTCAAAATATTCTATGTATAAATTACATAGCATAATATCACGCCTTTTATCCCCGAAGGGGATGCCAACCGGCAGAGGAGGCACATTATGGCACTTAATGCCACAGTACAATGTAGCACCCACTTTTTACTATTTATGGTATCAGTCCCATGTAATAGGGGGTGCCATATGCTGGGCACAGTTCCAGCCTCCGTCCTACTACTGAGATTTTTTTTAAAGTAATTCATTGAACAACCCTGGAATCGAATCCGAGATCCCCTGCCTAGTAGTCGCCATTGCAACCACTCGGCCAATGAGCAGTATAAATTACAATTTACAATAAACTAGACCAGAAACTGTAGAGTCATCAAACTTTTACAACAGAAAAACATTAAAATTTTGTTCCAACTGGACATTCTGTATACCAATTTCGTACATAAGGTGGGCCCGCTCGGACGAAAAGACTCCATTAGGCGATTACATTGGGGACTATACGTTTCAATCACAAAGTAAACACAGTCCAGTGTTTATATTGTTAAAAATGTTACACTAATAGTTTGCTTGTGATGATTTATTGAAGATTTTTTTTGATAATGTGTTTTAGTCATGTGGTTATGACATAGTCGAGTACATTATTTTCAAATTACTTCTACTCATGCTACTAGTACAGTAAGAGCCTTCAAAAGCTGGTTACATAATAAGAGCTAAGCTAAATTAGCTTAACTTAGTTCGCATAGCCGGCGCAGTTTTTCATACCTATGTTCAAACCGCAAACTATGCGACAAGAATAGAAAACTGCGTCAGCTATCCCAACTATGCAAAACTAACTTAGCTTAGCTCTCGATCTGCAACCGCCTTATGGGACTAATATTTGACAGATACCAAACAGCAATATTCTTAGATAAACCTTGTATATGGACCTTTTACATGCGGAGAGATTATAGCAAACCCTATTATGTTGTGTTAAAGATCGTCCATAGTCGGACCACCTCGTGGCAAGCAATCGGCGCCGCCCATGGACACCTGAAACACCAGAAGCGTGAT